GGGCACCAACCCTGAGGTCCTGCGCCCACACGCATGTCGTGGCTTAGTGCACCCCGCTACTGGGATTATGGGGCGCCGAGGAGGAAAAAAAGTGGACCAATCCTTGGCTGGGAGTCAGGCGAGTCCAACCCGCATCACTTCTGGGGAGCAACTTCCCTGAGCCTACATGAGCTCGGCCCACGTGTGCTGGTTCAGGTGCCGTGAGGCCCAGTCTTTCCAAAGTGGGTTGGCTGCTGTCCTGACCCCCGGGGCGACCGGGACCAGTCTAGCTCCAAACACCTCCTCACCGCGCCCCCCCACAACAAGCCCTCTGCAGCACCCCGTCCCCTGGCTTCGCGCCTGTCAACCCCCCCATTTTACAGACGGGGAACTGAGGCTCAGAGAGGCGATGTGACTTTCCCGAGAGCCTCGGGGTTCGGACGCCTGGTCCCCACCTTGACTCCAAGGCCCCTGCCCCACCCCCACACTTACACACGCCCTGCCAACCCCCCAGAACCCTCCCTCGAGCTCTACTCACGGAGTCCGATCTTGGCCAAGTGCAACCTGTTGACCCAGGAGATCTTGCTCAGGGGGTTGGGGGTGATGAAGACCACCATGAAGCTGATGGGGCGGCCAGACCTGTGGTGAGAGGACAAGGGGGTGAGCGCCAGGACATGGGCCCGCTCCCCCTCCCCAGCTCTGCCCTAGAGACACAGCCAGGTCCATTCCGAGCAGGGAGCGTGGCCAGTGAGGCGCGGCCCAGCCAAGCCCCTGGCCGCTGGGGGAGGAGTCCCCTCCCACCCCATGACCCCAGGGGAGAGGCCCCCCGCCCGGCCTGGGCGTCTTGCAGAGCCGGCCCCGCCTGCGACGCCAGCGGCCTGTGGCGGCCCCACCGGCCTGCTCTGCAGTCGGACGCCTGCACACAGCGAGCGGGAGTCTCCGCGGGCCGGCCCCAGCACCTGGCCACCGCTCAGTACACGTCAGCGAAGGGACACGCCAGTGAATGAAGACATGAACACGGGCGCTGAGCGCGGCTTGGGGCTGGGGAGCACCACCGAGACCTTCCCGCTCCGTGCCGGCCGGGCGGCCAAGGCTGCCGTGCGCCACGTCACCAGCTGAGGGTGCAGGGGCGCAGCCCCTGCCTGGGCATCCGGGGCGGGGCAGGGGCTGGCCAGGGGACTGCCTGGGCTGATGTGAGTGAACAGGACATGGACAAATGGAACCGACCAGCGCAGAGCACCCTGGCAGGGTGCTGGGCTCCCCAGGCGTCAGCAGCCCTTCTGTTCACTCACTCGCTCGCTCACTCGCTCACTCGCTCGCAGAGCACCCTGGCAGGGTGCTGGGCTCCCCAGGCGTCAGCAGCCCTTCTGTTCACTCACTCGCTCGCTCACTCGCTCACTCGCTCA